ATTCTTTTTGTCTTCAACCTTCTCAGTATCCGTAGGAATGCTAGGATCCTGACCATAACTTAGATGTTAGTTTTATGCTTCAACTGCATCCCTTTAGTCTTGGGTTTTTCACATTTGTGACCTAATTTATGGCTTTTACCACAAAATAAAGGCCGCCACTCGTACTCGATAACTTGTTTCATTTTTAACCATCATTGTCCCTAATGGTAATCTCTCTAGGTGAATCCTTATTAATGTCCATTTCAACAAGGATCTTAGCATAAGAATCCCTGAGCCTATTAGCCGTGATTCATCTGTCACTATTGGGTTACATAAAGCACTCCCTATCTTGTTAAGGCTTATATCTCCCCAGATATAGATTGTAAGGTGATGTAATTTGACCCAAATAAGAAGAGTTTTTAGGAGGTCATTCTTCAAGTTGAACTCCAGACGCCACTCACGAATCAAGAGTGGCGTATTTTTTACTGAATAGGGGGCCTTCATTAACATATCATTTGTTTCCCTGAAAAATTTGAATCGAAGGATAAAGTACCCTTCCTCATGATAGTACATGTCAGACGAACGAAATTCCAATTCTTAGTCATGAATTTTTTCACAGCATTCATACTTAATTCACCTCCCAAAGCATAGAGAACTAGAGATGGTTCCTATAATTTGAGTTCATCAATAATGTCTTCTTCCTCTATTAGCTCTTCAATCTCTCCATTAACAATTTTAGGTGCTATATATTTCATGCTTCTTCCTTTAGCAGGATTCCTATTATCGTTCAACACATCCACCCATAATTTCCTCCCTTCATCGATCGATTTTAGGGTTTCTTTTGGTTTGGATTTCGCTTCTGATTTCTCTTCAACTTCTTCCTCTTCCACTTTAGTGGAGCTAGCTTGGTGATTTATAGAGCTATGGTGAACAATCTTATCAACTGGACTCTTAGTAGCGATGATCATGTTGGTTTGATTTACAACTTCTAGCGGCATGGCATCGTCTTTTTCGGACGTCCTCGCCCCATCCTCCTATGCATATTCCATTTTTTTTGTAACTTATATTGCATACTATATTATTTTTATTATTATTATTATTATTATTATTATTATTATTATTATTATTATTATTATTATTATTATTATTATTATTATTATTATTATTATTATTATTATTATTATTATTATTATTATTATTATTATTATTATTATTATTATTATTATTATTTTAATTATTAATATTGTGTTAATTTAATAAATAATAGATTTAAGGTTGTGGATATATATATATATATATATATATATATATATATATATATATATATATATATATATATATATATATATATATATATATATATATATATATATATATATATATATATATATATATATATATATATATATATATATATATATATATATATATATATATATATATATATATATATATATATATATATATATATATATATATATATAATATTAGATAAATATTTATTTTTTAGATTATTACTTATTATTTATATTATTATTATTATTATTGTTTATGTTATTATTATTATTATTATTTTTTATTGTAGGTTTAAATTAGTAAAATTAAAATTAGGATTTGTACTTAGAGTTGATATCAAGTTGACATGTGGTTAGGATTTCCATCATGACAAACTTGAAATTATATATACTAAAATATGACCGGCATATTATGCGATTTACAATCATTAAATATTTTTTATTTTAAATTTAAGTTTTTGTGCAATAAAAACTTATAGATTTTAATTCTATAAAACTTCAATATGTTATCATTTAAAATAAATAATAATAATAATTTAAGTATACATAATGAGTTATTTTATTTAAAATTTGTTGATTGTAAAAATATTTCCTTTAAAAATATGGAAAAAAATAAAATAGTGAAATTTCTAAATAAATCTAGAGATAATCTTGTCTTTTTATGTTGAGTGGGAGAATGATCATCTCCTATAGTTGGAAAATTAAAATTTTTGTAGTCTAGACATATCACTATTCGTGTATAAGATAACTTTTATTTTGAATTTTCAATGTATATATATTGTGTTATCTATTACGACAACTTAATTGTTGATTTTCTATGTTACATTACATTTGCTATATTATTTCTTTCTTAATTATTATAATTTATTGATAATAAAAAGCAATAAATATAAATTCTTTCTTATTATAAAAATGTAATGATTTGTTGTTATTAAATTTATTATAATAATATGTTGGTATTGAATTAAAGTTCACATGAAGAATTAAAAATAGAGTGATCAAACTTTACATAAAAAATCTTATATATAAAAAGGTAATGATTTTTTGTTATTAAATTTATTATAATAAAATTTTGGTGATTTGTAATTTTGGTGATTTGTCTTGAATTTTAGTGATTTTGTTTTGATTTCATTTAGTGACTAAATCATCTATATAATTTAAAAAATCCTTAATTTAAGAATTCAAAAACTAATCGTTAAATATAATATAAATATTTTTCATTTAAATAAGATAATGAAATCATTTTATTATAATAATTTTTTGTTATTAAATTGGAGTTGGTGTGAAGAATTAAAAAAAGAGCGATTAAAGTTTATATAAGTTTTTTATATATAAAAATGTAATAATTTCTTAATGATTTGTTGTTAATAAATTTATTATAATAAAATTTTAGTATTCAATTAGAGTTGGCGTGAATGATTTTTTGTTATTAAATTTATTATATTAAAATTGTAGTATTGAATTGGAGTTGGTGTAAAGAATTAAAAAAAATGATAAAAATTTAAAATTCTAATATAATGCTACACAAATATTAGAATTAGGGTTGTGTCTAAAATTGTCACGGCAATGTTGAATTTAGATTAAGGAGATAGATAAATAGATAGATTTGTTGAGGGGAGATTATTAGGAACAAGCATCTTTGAGAGAGGCACACCGCTTCTCCACCTAAAATCTTAAGGTTTTAGGTGGATAAGTGGTGTATCTCTTACAAAGATGGTTAGTCATACACTATATATCAATGCTCCTAGTATCTCCCCCAACAAGATTAAGATAAGATTAGTTAGATATGCAAAAATGATTTAAATTAGGCTTAAAAAGATTAATGCAATGTCGCTGATATAAAATATAATTAAATTAGAATTATACGATTTAAGAAAATTGGACGAATTGTTTGAAGATAATATGACTTAATAGGTTCAACAAAATATTAAAAAAAGTGTTACACTGTTGGAGAAGCTTGTATTTTCTATTACTTTCTATTTGGCTGATGGTTTGATGCAAGTGCAATTTGTTTTACATTAAGATTGAATATCAAATATCAGTTCAACTCAATTTTTATTTTATTCGATTAAACAAAATTAAAAATTAAAAATTAAAAATATTAAATTTTTAGTTAAATGAATCAATTTTATAAAATTGACATATTAAAATATATTTGTATAACATTTTTAAATTTTTTTATCAATATACACTAACTAGTATATTATAATATTTTATATATTAATTACAATCGATAGATTTATGTAACTGTATTTTTTTTATACTTTAATTGCATTTAAAATATCACATGTGAATGTTTGTGTTACATCAATTGTGTAAAAAAATTTATATTGACTATGCATAGAAAATTTATCTCGATTTTAAGGTAGATGATGATTTTTATATTTTTTACTAATACTATATTTTAAGATATCACATTGAGATGATGCATTACTATGGTAGGTATATGTCTCCGGTGCAGTGGAGAAAGAGCTGACCTACAAAATTAACACTTAAATATTTAAGTTTGTGAGAGAATTAAGAATAATATGAAGGTGAGAATAAATTTGAATAGTACATTTGCCTTCACGTGGGGTACCTTATATAAGATATTTGGTTGAGATGTATCGGAAAAATCACAAATCTCATATTAGTTGGAGATAGAGCGTTTGAAAAAGTTTATATAGAGTGACATCTTTCATCTTTAAAGTCAGTTTGATAAGGATGCGTTAGACCAAACTCTAATATCGTATCAGAGTCTATTGATCTGATCATGGACCGTCCACCGTTTATATTCACGCACCAAATCCAACAGAGTGTTGGGCATGAGAGGGTATTAGAAAAATTCCAAATCTCACACTGATTAGAGATAGAGTCTTGAAATAATTTATATAGAGTGACAATCCTCACTTTAAAAACTGATTCTAATAAGATGTTCAAGGCCTAGACCAGAGAGGAGACTTTTCTTTATTAGGCCTTTTGGCCAATGCATGACAATTTGTATTTAGTTTTTTTCTATCCAACAAATACTAAACTAAGAGATAATGAACCATTTCTTTAAATCTAGATAATTCAAAAGGTATATAATTACACTTAAATGCAAGGAAAACATGCAACAAATTGTATCGCTACCTTTTTTTTATTTTTTATGTTGATACACCAATCGTCTTAAAAATTAAATTTGCCGCCTAGAAGACACTACGTTATTATGCATAAGCTTTTAAATTCTATGTAAAACGTTCACTTCTTCTAGTGTTAAAAAACTAAAAATGTCAAATGTTAATAACATGAAAGTATATTAATTGTTCGAATACGTTTTTTTCATACATGACCACTTTACTTGAGATAGATTTAACGACTGTATATCTTATTGTAAAACTTCAAAGTCCTAACAAATAGAAAACTCCGATTACACTTATATATTTTTCTCCTATCCACTCATACACTAAAACATTAAAAAATATCTAAAATAAAATATATGGATTAAAAACTCAAGTCTTCATAATAATATAAAACTAAGTACAAATTAATTAAGTATGAATAGATATAATATAGATTTAACAAGACGATATTTAATCTTTTTAATCAAACCAATTTGATGACTGATGAGCCAAATAACAAGGGCCATTGAGACACATGAGTCCTCACCATATAACTTGCTAGCAACAAGGGGATTCCTAATCTTGCCGAAATGCACCCCTAAATGTAAATGTTGTTAATAGTTAAAATGACGACAACCTTGCACTCATGGATTCCCTCCAACACCATCAATTTGTTCTGCTGAGTTGTGTGAATTGGAATTCCTATGTGGCCAAACAGTATAACACAACACATCTCAAACTCACATTCCAACCATAAATCCACACTTCTCTCGTGCTTTTCTTGTTCTAGTAACAAGTCTCACACTTCCCCTTTTCCTTTATATATAACAGCATATATTATCGAGTCTCATGCCAAATCAACAATCACACATTAATCAAAAGCTTATATTAACTTAGTGCACTAGATTTTGCTCTTCTTGTTTGTTGTCCTATACTTGTAAAAAAATGGCATTTATTTCCAGAGTTGTTGCTCCATGGTGCAAGAAGCTTATTGAAAATGGACATGGTGATGTTTGGTATGGCTATCCTCCTGTAGTTTGTGATGAAGGAGACGATGACGACGATGGTGGTTATGATTATGCTCCAGCAGCATAAACTCTTCATTTGTCTCATTGATTTTTGTTGCTACTTCAACTAGCTAGTATTCATTACTACTACTTAACTACTTTAAAAATAAGAAAAGTGTTTTTAAACAATTAAACAAGTCAAATAAAGTGAAAAATCATTAAAATAAAATAAAATCATGACATAAAATTGTGATAAAATAAGAGTCAATAAGATAATATTTGAAAATATTTGAAAATATTTTTGTGAATTTTTTCATAATTTTCAAGTCAGAAAGCAATGTTTTATGAATTTTTGAAGTTTAAAAAAATTAAAACAAAAATCAGAAAATAAAATAATTGACCAAAAAAATGTGGACCATCTGGTCATTATCAAAACACATTAGTAATTAAATCCAAGGGATCTGGCGCGCTGTGCATATCATGGTCATTAGTGAATAACACACTGAATGATTTATTTAAAACTGATTTGAAAAAAATGTGGCGTCATGTCATTGGTTGAGAGATGACATGTCATCTTCTTCAACCTCCAGCCACACGCGAATTATAGGTCCTTCAAACTGTAAAATTATAAGGCTTATACGGTGTCATTCGCTTTGCCTCATCAAGACGATTCCAATGGTACCCTCGCAAAAATTTATATTAACCACAGCTTAGTCGAATTGGAAAAAACCAGAAGGAAAAAATTGAAAAGGGATTTGAAAATTCATGAGAAAGACTCACTTCTAGTTAAAAACCAACGATGTTATGAGTATCAGAGTAATAAGAGCTTTATTGTAGTAACAAGTTTAAAGATAATTGATAGAGGAATCTACCTGTTGAAATTCAACTTCAGAGCTCTGAAACTGAACTTGGTGAGCTTGATTTAGTGCTCAATTTTGCTTGCTAAAAGTGTGGTTAGTTTCAGAGAAGTTCAATAAAACTAACTCAATCAAAAGAAAAGAATGAAAGAGCCCTCTAAAGGAGAAAATGAATTTGAAAATTTAGAGGTTTTGTGAGGTTTGGGCAGAGCTTCTTTGGTTTTTCAAGCTTGCGGAAATGAGTGGGATATGTCCCTTATTTATAGTTGAGCATGATGCAAACAAAAAGTGAGAGAAACGATCAAGTATGAGTGGAATTCGTGGTGCACCTGCATCATGACCAAAGTGAGACTTGTAATCCATCTAAACTCACTCAATTCTTATATTTTGATGCCTAACCAAGTTTGTTAAGCACATTTAAGTGAAAAACACGCACAAAATTGGTGATTATAGGCCATATTATGGAAATCAAATTCTGACTTCAAACAAAAAGTCAACTTCATGGAGGCAACTTCAAGAGCATGGGGCACACAATGTAGGAGGCTTTATGATCTCATTCTTTTCGCAATGGAAAGACCTCACAACAAAATTCTTGTTTTACACTAAGAACTACAGGATAAATGCTCCCCAACAAAGTGAAGTTGTGACGTGATTATCATATGGCAGGTTGCTACGTGATAATCACGTCGCTAAAAAAAAATTTAGTAATAAATTATGAAAAGTAACGTTAACAAAAGAGAAGTCAGATTTTTTTTTTTATAAATAAAGTTGCGACGTGAATCCTACGTTGCAACCAATTAATTAAAATAGATAATTCAGATAGTCATAACCTACACATGGTGGGAAGTTTGAAATTTTCAAATTTCAAGTTGTGACGTGATATTCACGTCGTAACTTTTTAGGGGGGGAAATCTGTCTGCCTTGATGTTGACTGCGCGCATTGGATGGGTGCAGAGTTATGACCGTTGGGGACGTTACGACGTGATAATCACATGGAAAGGTTGAGACGTGATTATCACGTCGCTGACTATTTATATATATTTTTCTGTTTCACATATCTTCTCCACTTTTGTTTCTTCTTTCATCCTCTTCCTCTTCTATTTCATCTTCTTCCTTCTACCTCTAACTTCTCCAATTTTAATTTCTATTCCACTTCTAATTTTCAAAGGTAATCAATCATCTTCTCTAGTTTTGTTTCAATTTTTTTTATAATTTCGTTTAATGTTTATTCTGTAATATGATTTTGATTTATGTTTTTTTTTTCTCAAGAAATTGATAAGAAGAAGATTGAAAAACATTGAAGAGGATTTGAAAAAGATAGAACAAGAAGATTGAAGGAGATTCAATAGAGCTATTTTTCTTTCTTTTTTTTTAAATTATATATTTTTTCAGGATTAGTGGTTGATTATTTAGGTTAAATTTGATTTTTATTTTGTAAAAGTTGTTAGTAAATTAATATTATAATTTTTATAAATCAAAAATAAAACAAAATATATTTTAGAATTTTATTTACAACGAAATTATGTATATATTATACAAATTTATTTTATATTTATTAAATATATAGTATTTATATTATAAAATAGAATATAAAAAATATGAAAAATAATATAAAAAAAATCTATATTTTTTATATATTATAAGACAAAATATTTTTAAATTATATATTTTAATAATATATATTTAAACAGAAAAATATATATTTTTGTATATTATAAAAAGAATATATATATATATATATATATATATATATATATATATATATATATATATATATATATATATATATATATTATA